TTAAGTTGTGGAATCGAGTACAATGTCTTTGAAGACGTCTTCTTGTACTGACCGGTATATAGAGATCTTTGGAGAACGTAGGTTTACAGTATTCTAAAGGTGCGATGTTGTTGATGATACCTTTGATGTTGTGATAAAATATATTGGTTAATGTGTCGGTATTGTTTGAGGTAAAGAAAGTTTTCCAATCAGTGCTTCTTAGGTAATTGTGGAAGTTATTCCAATCAACCTTGCGACAGTTTCTACGAAGTGTTACGGTTTTACGTCTACCGGTTGTGGTTTTTACATTAAGGCTGCATATGACAAAGTTATGATCACTACCTGAGAACGTTTTTCCAATATACAAAGTATTGAGGATGAGGCCACTGGTAAAGACTAAGTCTAAGATGTTCTGATGTCTGGTAGGGCTATCGACATACTGAGTCCATTGTCCAAGCTCTAGACATTCAATAAATGATTCATAACGTCTCGGCGCTTTGACTGGGAGCCAAGAAACTTCGGGCATATTGAAGTCACCACAAATAAGCTTGCCTACGAATGAGAGGGATAATGCTAGTGTGAATACCTCTGATAATACTGCTATTTCATCTATTGATGCGTTAGGTTGACGATAAACACAGCCGAGCTGTAAGGTAACGGAATTCGACGGCCTTTATACAATCCACACTGGGATTTTGATAGCTAGACTTAGTGGGAGATGTATCAAATGAGCTAGTGAAGTTGATTGGGGAGTTTACCCAGGAGGAAAGGGTGGGAGTACTCTCTGATGAAAACTGTACGGAGGAAACAAATTTATGGTTTGCATGTGGTTTGAAATAACCTGGGCTATATGCTTCAACAGAGGTGTCACTAGGGGTCTTACTCCAAAAAATCTTGTACAGGCCTACTGTGAAGTGTATGACTATTTACAAAATAGTCTTGATGGTTAGACTCGTAGCCCCTGTTATGGCTATTTACGTTAGCGTGAGAGGGGTCTGCTACGCGTAACTGGGAGGAGTTGCGACCGTTGTTATACATGGGAGCCGTTGTTGTGTGATGGGTCGGTACTAAAGGGTGCGAAAAGTTTTCTTTCTGAATGTTCCTCCCTTCGCTTTTTTGTCGCAGCATATTCATTACCTGCTTTCGAGTACAACAACCTGAAATATATTTATATATACTTACCAGTGGAGAGTTTAGCTTTCATAGCTTACCAGTTCTCTCCTTAATACTTTCTATAACTTCATCTGCCGACTGACAGTGAAATATTACTGGCTTCAAGTTTTCCTTTTCTTCGGATGACAATCTACTCCACGGATCACAAATCACCCACGAACTACTACGAGGATGGTTGTGAGACGTAAGTTTTTATGATGTATTGTTGACCTTCCAATCTTATACGAAACCTAGGTTGGCAGTTTAAAAACTTGGACCTCAAATGTCGCACATTAGTTAAAGTCCTCACGGTTTTTTATTCACTGTCAGACCTTATGATTTACGTTTACGACCAAACGTGCAATGAAGCACCACAAACAAGTAATAATATCTCATATCCCTCAACAATTTACTTTCTGCGTGAACATAGTGCGTATGGGTAATCTAAGGCAACATAGATTTATTCTTCCATACTTTACGGAAATCCTTTAGCGTACTATCGATTTCAATCCAGCATCCGAATCGCTTGTTCGATATAATACGTTGAAAAGCCTCGCTTACGTCCACTTAAATTTCACTTAAGCATGAAGCACTACAGACAACACTCATCAATTATTAAAAAAAGTTATTCCTTAAAAAGAAATAGCTGAAAGAAGTACAACAAATATTTAGGACTTACCATTGAGTTGACATTTCGTCTTAGCTTCTTTGTTTAACATCGACTCACAAAACCTCTGCGTACCTATAACTTTTTACGTTATCCTTCTTACGTTGTTTTCTGAACTTATCAACAAATTATATAAGGGTGTTGACCTTTACTACAGCAGTTGGGACCAAAGATCAAGTTACGAAGCAACAACAGAGCTAACGTGTACATTATAAAACAGGGAATGCTAAATTAATGCTCTTAGCAGTTATTTTTTGCTTTTCATGCAGAAATAGATAACTTAAATATGGAACAACTTAATACGCGTACGACCCAGCACACCCACGGCAAATGAAATGCGGAGTGACTGCCTCTAGTCAGGCTGTTTAGGGTCGTTGAAACGAAACGGCGGACAGATTTGAAAGGGATTACCGTTTTCACCATGCCCAACTTCATGTCCTGGATTCAGCAGAGACGTCATAAATCACATTAATTAAATATGGACTCCGAGAGATCAGGTGTACAAGCCTTATGACACGGCGTTTGCTGATGTATATTCAAGTGATACGTCGATGACAGAAGACGACATGACGGATGTCGTAGAGAAGTCAACGTACCTTCTCCGTAATTATCTGTTGTTCAGATACCATTGCAATCCGACATCAGCCAGAATGACATCTCCGCTAATCTTTACCTCATCATGGAGCAATAAACTCGAAAAGCTAGTAAAACTATGAATCACGTTCGATTAACCTGGCACGTTTGCAGGAGCTTCCCTAAATGGCATAATTTATAAAGGTCTAGACATCACTGCTGAATTAGTATGCATATGACCGTTTCGTTGTGGAGGCTACAAAAATAATTTCCCTGTAGATGACTGTTTTATACTTTTTTCATGAAAGAATTTGCCACGCTAACAAACGGATTATTATCTCAAGGCTATAAACTCAAGAAATTATAGCACCTCTCCTGCACTTAAGTTTGCGTACGGATAATTTTATCAAGACCTTCAATTAACTTGTTTATCAGAAAGTGTTTGTTCATGAATTATGGGTATTTAACCAAAATACACTATCCTTATTTCATAACCAACCTTCCACTTTTAGACATCCGTGACAAAATTTCCAAAAGGCTAAACTAAAACAGTGTGGAATCGGAAATGTGTATGAATGAGTCTGATGATGTCACAGATATTCAGTGTTTGACAACGCTTCTACCAGTAACACTTTCTAATATATTTCGTTCCCGCCCAGAGAAATCAAAAGACAGAGTCGAGGAGATCGGAAGAGTATATTTGGCGATGACCAATATATCGGAATTCTTGGATCTAATCTGGCTAGCGATTGCGGTTGATGTTGAGCACGGCGTTACCACACGTGATCTGGTGCGGATGCCTGACCGAGCGCCTTCAGCTAGATGAGTCCACTAAAACATATGATCAGCATCCAATGTCGAAAACTTAGAGCTATTTATTTTGGGGATTTATTTACCGTACAGATCACACCCCCCCTAGTGGGGCAGTGACGACCCTAAGACGTGGCCAGCCAGAAGTTTAAACCCAACGAGTTTGTCGTTGGTAAACACTCTTCTGATAGCTTACTAAATTTAGCAGCGTCTGGTCGTCTTTCCTTACTATATGGGACCGAGGTACAACATAGTAAAAAAAGAAAGTTTCAACGAAAATTTCGACTCCTCGTAAACTGCATCGTTCTTTTCCAGTCGTCCTGGAAAAGAAAAAAGAAAGTGTAAGTGCATGTCGAGATACACTCGTATGTGCGTAAAAACACAATGTCGGCGAAAAAATGGAAAATATACTCAAGCACACGTAATAGCGTTAAAAAAATAATTTTTTGTTTTTTGTATTTTTTAAAAAATAAAAATATATAGGCATATCAAAATTGTTTTTTTTAATATTATATATCGTAAAAAGAAAAATCGAGATAATATAAAATGTCGAGTAGTGCCTTACGTGCAGTAGTCGTTTAAATGTTCTGGAAATCTTACTCTTCTTCCAGAACGCGTCGTTTTAGGTATATTTTCAGATACATTCGAAGTATCATCGCTAGTGTTGGTTGTCGGTTGAGGAATTATGAGTGGAGTCGTATCGTTCGACTGTACCGAAGGAAAAGCGACGTGGATAGGATTTCCTTCTAAATACGCTGCTGGTAAGCGATCGATGCTGATGCTATCGTTTGTTCCGTTCTTGTCGACTATATAGTACTTAGATTCACGTTGAAGAACTTTGAAAGGTCCTTCCTATGCTGATTCGAATGGTCGTCGATGCGTGTCTCGACGAACGAAAACGTGTGTACTATATCGTAAGTCAGGTTGAACGAAAACATCGGTTGATTGTGGTCGAGTGGGAGCACGTTTGACTGAACGCATTGCGTTTGTAAGCCAGGCCAGCAAAACCCTTCTGCTATAGGCTTGATGGTTGCACGAACACCTGGATGCGAAAGTTTGTGCAATGTGTTGAAGACATTGCGTCGATAATGTTTCGGCACGATTGTGCGATCCTTACCTGTAGATGTGTCACACAGTAAGGTTTCGTTACCTGTTCCCATCTGTTTGATGCGTAGTTTAAGGGTTGTAGACGATAACTCGTGCTGAAGATCAGTGTCTTCTTTTTGAAGCTCGGCGAGTTTAAGAAGGTCGATTCCTTGGAAACTGTTCAAGGAAGTTATGCGAGATAAGGCGTCTGCAACTACATGGTTTGCTCCAGAGATGTGTTGAATATCTGAAGTAAACTGCGAAATGTTATTACAGAAATATATTAGTCAAAGTAGATACAAGCGAAAGTAAGACCACTGCCGCATGGGCCAGTCCATGGCATACCATTTCAGTTGACCTCCAATTTCGGTAAACCCTACATAGTATTTGGGAGTGAAGAAAAATTTCCTGTCAAGAAGAATGGAATTAAAGAGGACACCACGAACAATAATTGGCTAGGATTAGCCTAGATTGAAGTATGCCCTCATTACATTTACTTCCATTGTTTTGTTCATTCCTGTTGACCTTTTGGTAATGATCATGGTTACTCACAACCATTTGCGGCAGGAATATCCCGAGATACTTTCATTTTATATACTCTGTCTCTGCATCCAGTTTTCTAAATAGGTTGCTGTGACATTGAAGTTCATTTCTCTTGTTTTTAAAAATCAAATAGCAGTATGTTGATTGTCAGTTGGCAGTGCACTCTTTTGAAGTATTTCTCCACGGTAGGATGTCTGCTAGTCAGCGAATGAAAGTACAAAATGGGAAGGCTCACGGTAATATAGTCAACCGTGGCAATGTCCCTAAGTCACTGGTAATTCACCTGGCTCGTTACAACTTGTATAGCAATCCTCAGACTCGCAGTCCAATATGAATACATGTATTTTGGGTTTAATTGTTTTCGTTGTTTGTGGTTCAGGTAATTGCTCTTCAAAACTGACTATTGGTTTCAGCTATATTCGAAATCATTCAACATATAAGGATGGCATTCTGATCCGATAACCGAATGATTTCAAAAAAATAACTATTTGTTTACTATGTGATATTTGTTGGTCTCGGCCTGATTGCGTTTCCCATTTCTTTCAAGACAAGCGTATGATTCAATATTTTTTTGTTCCTTTCGAGTGGTTTGTTGTCATGTGTCTACCTTTAAATGCATTTTGACTGACTGCGTAAATAGTCCCAAGTAGTTCTTTTTTACACTTAATTTTTATGGTTTGGTCAATTAATGTGTAGCTGTTTCTTTAAATTCGTGAAGTCCAAATCTTCCATCATTGTAATTCCTTACTAGTGTATTTCTGAACTAATACAAACCAACGCCCAAATGCCCTGGTACGGCCGAGAGTAGGGAGAGTCAGCTCTCCCTCTCGAAATGCTCTCACGTGCATACAACCACTGCCAGGGAAGTCCTGTCTCATCACGGCACTACTGTTGTTTACGAAATTAAGAGGACGAAAAGCAAATGTTTGGCGCTATAACCAGGTTGGTGGGTATGGAGAGTACACCTAATGGAGTTGGAAAACCCTGGTTCCAAACCAATGGTGCACATGGGCTCCAGTATCCTGAAAGAACAAATGGCATATAAACCAATCGTTGGTCACCGGCTACCATGGGACTGCATCTCTTCACGATGCCCCACTGCCTTGTGGATCAGACCTTCAGGTCGAAGGCTCCGGGTGTGGTCCCCTAAGTAAATCACCTGCTTCGGTTTGGGCACCCGGGCAGTATCACAGCCCTCACACATATCGAATGAGATTTGTGTGGCGCATATGTATTTGGTACCTTCTTGTACCAATATCCATGTGTTCAAATAATAATAAAGTACTTAAGACATTAGTATCCTTGACACTGATCGTATGTCACTTTGCCCAAGGTTTTTTGCATTAATTACAATTTTCATAAAATCATACTGTGTGCAATTCATCATGTGTATGTTCGTGAATTTTACTGAGTAGCTGATTTTGTATGAATACTGATAATAATAGCTGTCCTACCTGAAAAGTAGTAGGTATAGTAGAGTGCAAGCCTGTAAATTAATAGTCTCGGCCCGAATAGTTCAACTATCAACCCACGACTTCGTAGATCATTAAATGTTGCAGTTGGGAACTACTGTTATCATTGATAATTCGACCATGAGACGATTCGCCAACATCCTGTATTTATAAAAAATCGGGAGTAACTTTGCTTCACCTTTCGTATCTAACTACTACAAAAGCACTAGATACCATCGTAGTTGTATTACAGATATTGCGCGAATGGCTACCGACATTTTGGGTTTATGATGACCTAGACTAGTTTCAAAACCAACTACCCAGTAATAATTCTTCCTATGGATGCCTAGTTTCTAGGTTTACTCAAAGTTTCATCCATCCCGTGATACTGCTTAGGGAATTTCATATTTCGACATAATTTATGTTACGTAGTTGTTCCAGATACTCATTCTGGTTTTATTTGGGGCTCCGGAATAGTTGGTCCTCGAGGAATTTCTTATGAGTAAAGCAACCGAATTATCCTTAATGTTATATGTACTTTAAGTGAATAATTATAAATATGATTTCTGTATACTTACCATCCTGTAGGCGTGTCCCTATCAACGTAGAATTTATTACGTGTATGCACCAGTATACCTCACATCAGTTAGGAATGACGTCCAATTCAGGATTTAGAGGAATATAAAGAATAAATGCAGCTATACCTCTTTGACGAGTCTGCTTCTGTGTCACCCAACTCCTACAATCAGTACATCTACATGCCTCAGACCAATAGTTAGTGACTTCATGGATTGTTACTATTTCTTGATTTGGCCTCTAATGTTCTCCAACTTACTAGTATGTTGGTCAGCACTACAAATTAAAGTACGTGGGAGGTAGTCATGTGAAATACATATCCAAGTTAATTACGACCCACAATTTATCGGACATAATTGGTTTTTATATTATATTTAGTCTCATCATCCTACTAAACGTAGTCAGTAATTCGGAGACATCCGAACTGAAATACTTGCAGTTTACGTATGTGTTCTATCATAGACCATAGTTTATGGCCATAGAGCAATACAATAAAATTTCACTAATAAACCATCCAGTTTAGCTTAATAACCTGAAACAGACTGATTTTTCAAGGTTGGGCCGAATGCTGACTTTTGTCACTGATAATGCTGTTCGCTATAATTGAGAAATACTGTTACTTACCATTTATCGCAACGTAATAAGACTGCCTTGCTGATCCAAGGAAGAATGTATAATTTGGCTGACTTATTCTCCAACCATTAGTCAAACGATATCCAGAATAATATCAGATTATATATTATTCCCAATACTTTTTATCAGTCAATACATCCGAAAGGATCAAACTAGTAGTTAACTGATAATCTAGTGTGCATACAACTTTCAAAACCAATAAGCTAACTGACTTGGCTGGAGAACAGTTCGCCACTAAAACTAGATATTTGTTTTCTTAATATATTTGTTGATGTAGTGGGCTAATCAGATTTCGACCGTATGTCAAGCTCAAGCAACAGACCAAGATTTAGCTTCGTTTCTTAGAAAACAAGACATATTGTCGGTTAAGCATGTCTGGGACAAATATATGTATGAGTGTACAGGTGTCGGTTCAATTTATTAAATAAAGCCTCGTCATTCAAGAAGCTGCTTCGGTTTGCACGTGAGAACTCGTATATCGGCATTGTCCACCGTTTAATACTTCAAATTACCAAACATGATGAAACTGTCGCCAACATATCTGAAATATATTGGCGCTTGTTTTGTCACCCTTTAGTTTAGGGGTCTGTAGTTATGCAAAAAAGTATAAGCTAATATAGGGCCTAGTGGACTGCCCATAGCAGTCAGTCAGTAACAACGTAGAACTTCGTACGTACGTACATCAGTTCGAGTTGACACACCGCATTAGCACAGAGATGCAGTGGACGATTCAAATCCCGTAGTGCTAGATGTAGTAAAATTATAAGCTGTAATCAGAAAATTTACGGTTTGAAGATGTTATTCAAGGAGTATAATCCAGTGAAATATATTTAGAAAGAGAAAAAAGGGGCATGAAGAATTCAGAAGATTAGAATCTGGGAGAACACAAAGAGTTGATGCACCTGCGCCAATGCAAACGATTTCGAGTCATGTCATTCAAGGTCTCTAACCACCTGTATGTCCTAAATACTTCCCATTGAAATGGAACTGCACATTTTTGTGTGGATAGGAGTAGCAGTCTTTCTATTCTGTTATTTTGAAAATCTTCCTTTCAGTGTAACTACATATGAGATCTACAGACTCGTCTAGTAAGATATTGGTGAATAAAGACTCGACATCTTAAGAAACTTGGTAATTTCTATCGAGGGCGATCCTATCAGTTCTGTAACAAAGGCAATTATTGGAGGTAGACAACAGAGGACCTTAGATCTACGTTTCGTGCTATTTGGTACTTGAGTCAATATGCAAAAATATATAACTATCTCTACGGATTGCTTTCTCGGAAGTGTAAAAATTCCACGTAGATTGCCAATTACAATGAAATTATTTCCAGGTAGACCGTTAATCACAATGAGATAGGTAAATGCGATTCCCAGCTAGATGTGTATTTTTGTACCAGCGACCATATCTTACACCACCTGACAAATCAGTCTGTTTTTTATATGACTTAAAAGATTTGGTACGATATCACAGAGAAAGATAGTGAGACATTCCACATATCAGTACGCTGAAATAACTAACCTATCAAGAATTTCAGGGTTTAGAAATTTGTAAAGCACGAACTGATTTTTATGAATGACACCTTCACTTCAACATGTATAACAGTCATCTTTTTCTTCTTAGGCTCCTCTGGTTTTTTCATCTTTATACTGCATGTAATCTTTCCCTACTTAGTTCATATTACTTTAGAAAATATCCTATTGGAACTGGTTAATCTCGTTCTGTTACTTTTATTATTATGTTTCTGTTCTACCTTACAACTATTTTCTTTCATCAGCTTACAAATATCACGTTGGTCTTTGATTTTGTCAATCTCAGTGTGCTTAATATGTTAGAGCTTAGAAATTTTGTTTAGAATAAATAGGTTTATTCAAGTTTGAAAATACGTTAGTTGATATCACTGTCTAGTCGAATATAACATTCTACAGTTAAATTAAGATATAAATAACAGTAAGACCACAATATCAGTAAATATTTTGCAAATGTCAAAACTGGAGAATTTCTGGGGAAACCCAACTATCCTAGCAACCTGTTGTAATTTATCTGTCAGTCACAAATCTGTGTGGCTCATATATATTTGGTGCCCTCTTGTACTATATTTATGTGTTCAATATAAAGTCACAAGTCAGTATTTCGTTATAAAATAATTAAAATTAATGGAATAACAGTGAATAAATCATTTCGATGTGATTAGTGAATCCATACATATTGAACTACTTATTACACTAAACGATAAAAGGTTAGGCTCAGGTATTATATGATGAGACAGGATTATGAGCTACGATTAAGATATGTGATTAGAGTGGCACAATACATTTTATTGATACAAATCCATCTGATTAAGCATCGAGTCACATGGAGCACACATGCATTTCTCATCAGGAATAGGTGTTTCTTGTAATTTAGCATACAAAGCATGCCACATTCACTCTGGTTACACATAAGGTATTTCTTATAAACTTTAGGGACTAGATGCAGACGATTTCCACTCAGTTGTCATTAATATGCGTACCATCCTTCACCGCACCTTAGATTACTTTCAAAATTACAATTGACGCTGTTTCAATTTTGTTTAGATGGTCAGTATCCTCTCGTTTCACGATGTCCTTAAATTTATATCACCTTGTAAATAATAAACCTGCTAATTCGCACATAAGCTGTCCGATAGTAAAAGTGAGGTATCAGGATTAGGTAGTTAGAGTTTGGACCAAAAAGGTAATCGTTATGCGGTCATGAAAGTCGGTGTAAGACGTTTCTGAGTATGACACTTCATACTCAAGGATATCAGAATAATAAGTTTAGTAATTGGTAGAGAACCCTCTTTATTCGAGGCTTACACGGATGGTGAATAGAATCATTTGCTCTTTTCCTTAGTAGAATTTTACGTCAATTCGAATGTAATCGATCGAGTATCTAAACAATATTTTGCTAACTTTATCCAGTCGGATATTTTGTTTCGCATAAAGTCGACTTAGAGTATATTAAAACACTTCCAAGAGACGTTAATCCAATTATTCTTATCGGAAAAAACTGGACTTTTTGGAATACTCTTAGATCAGATGTTTCGTGGAAAACCACTCATATCGACCGTTAACTAGTCCCCTTTTTTACAAACAGATCTAACTCGGTAAGTCCTGTTGGTAAACAAGTAAGATAGTTTGTTAAGGTGGTGATCGTAATTGTGACGGGCTGGTGTCCAAAAGCTGATACTGATACATGACGTGCTACGCGCCAACCCCACAACTGACTACTCGAGTGAGAACACAAGTGTAGATGAGAAAGTATGTTGGGCTACCGAATAAAATCCACAAGTACTCGTTCATATGTATACCACTTTAATCCTTTAGAAATTGATCCATTTCTTAGCCCATGAAATGCACTTCTGACTGGCTACTTCACCTCCATACCAGTAATTTCAAAAGTACCCAATATATAAAAGGGGCTTTCAACCTTTGACTTAATTTGGAAGATTAAGATGTTATCTGAATGAATCCAACTGTGCAACATAAACTAAAATTGCATCATAATAACGTCATAGTAAGAATCCGACTGTCATTCCTGTTATCTTAAGGGGGAGTTAATAGATTATAAATCAATATACCAGTCTATTGTTCAGTACTCAAACGTATTTTGAATAATCGTACCAAAAATTAGTTGGGTCACTGAGTCAAGCAGCACCAACCGTTTTCTGTTTTGATTAGAAATGCATGGGACGAACAATATTTTTCCTAGGCCCTATCTTTATATATCCCTGCACCCCACTGAGAGGCAAGGCACTATGTGGAGCGATTGTATTCTCTGATTCGCGCCTTTTTATTCTAGTTTGTTCTTTATCGTTGTAATGATTTAATCAGCCAAATCCAATTGTCTTCTAAGCAGTGGGTAACGGTCGTTGTTCATGTGATTATTTGAGCCGAGTAATATAAATATGCAATGTCCAATGAGAAAAAAATATATTGACGTACTAAGATATTTTGAAGTATGAATAGTAGATAACGTAATATGTGAGCTGGTAACTCCCAGAGTTAAGCAGTGCATACTTTAATACTTACGACTAAGCCTAAATTGAGGACAGAGAACACAGATGCACAATTGATTGACCACCGAGTGGTGATCAATGTCATGTGCGTCAATTCCTTATTAGTGCAGATCGAATGCTATTGACCAAGTTGTAGTCTGGCCACTAGTCTAGGTAACTCGACATTGTGTGCACTATGTTGAGATTAGATGGCGGTTGTGGGTAGTCAACAGGAAATCCTGGACCCGGGCTTTGTGCTACTTGGCACTCTTCAGCAAGGTTTACCTGTAATCTTGAGGGAACTGGTGCTCACTGACGGATTCGATCCCGTGTCACTCAGCTTCACAGTCAGAGGCGTCACTATTGTGCTATCCGAGCCGTGACCGACCTCCTGTGGGACAGATGTGATCACAATTGATTAATCACTGGGTGGTGATCTGCACTACGAAGGACTTTACACACATGAAATTGATCACCACCGAGATAGATATACATAATCTAGTTACTGAATATTTATGCCATAAGAATATATAGATAATATTAGTCCATTGATAGGTCTCAGACGTTATTCGTAATGTAATCTTCATTATGATATAACAGATTGGATCTGAAGATTCCCGGGACGGAATGATTATAAATTCGCTAACTTTCTGAAGTATGTTGTATTAAGGTTATGAATAAAACGCACATTAATGTACGAATCAGTTATCATTTCATACAGACAGCATACTAACATAAATGGATGACAGAATTATGATAGTTCCTACCTTGTACTTTATATCTAAAGAACTTCGAGGGTAAGGAAGAAACATCTAGTTTGCAATCATAAGTAGTAATTATATTACAGAAAGATAACACTACTTGATATTTTTATTATCATAAGATAAAATGATAAACTTTCATCAGTTTCTTAATTCATGAGTTCTTATAATTAAGACTGTTTAACATGTATTAGTGAAATGACGGATTACTAGTTGGGTCACTATAATATTTGGATTGTAGTATGAACTAGGAGTCCCAGAATTAACGCAATTCAATCAAGAACTACGACACAAGTACAAACGAATATACTGTATTTAGAATTCGAAATCGAGCATTCAACAAGTACAAAAGAATCTTTGTTAATTCAAACACCACATCCGCCACAGCTTAAATAGGAGTATAAGTGTTTGTAATCGGTTGTACATCTTCTTTTTATGTTCATCCTGAGTCTATCCGACATTTTATTAGATAAAAACTTTGTAGTATCTAGAATGTGCTCATTAGTATTGGAATTAACAAACGAAATCGGAACAAACTCATTGGGAATTGTATACAATCACCATGTCGGTTTTGTAATGAAATCATTAATATCTAGAATTCGAACCATAGATTTTTCAACACTATCCTCCCCCACGAAATAATGTTGGATCTGTATATCCCCAAGTTACGAATAATGTGGCTTCATTTAAAACATATTTTTCACACTGTTTAGAGTAAACATTAGAACTGTTTTTGTGATAAGGGTAAACAGGAGTTGGTGTGAAATCATCCGAAATATAATCAAAATCGAACTCATTTAGTACTCGTGCTTCGCATTGAACAAGTTTCCCACAAGAAACAAATGCATTATGAGGAGAGGTAATATATGATATGACATCAGGATTTGATTCTTCTGAAATATTTTCATGAAATTAATTAAGAATTTCATTGCAGAGTAATGGATCAGAAAAATCAGCATTTATCAAAACTACATCAGGTTTTCGATTATAATTATGTTCATTCAACATATTTTCTCAGATTTGTAAAAAATTTCATCAGAAATATCTGAACCATTAGGAAAAGCTATAGCTGATAAATCGATTGGTTAGAAACTGTTGTCTCGCAAGAATTCTGAGTTTCATTTAACTCTGAAGTGCTATGTGACTCCACACTGTATATTACAATCGTTGATAAAGATAAATCATCATTATAAATACTCGACTTAGTAGAATCAGAATTACAAGACAATATTAGTTGCAGTAAGATCAACATTAGTATTACAGACTGATTGAATATGTTCAATATCACCACATTTAAAGCATTTAGAATTACGAAATTTACATGAATTAAGAGAGTGGAACATGCCACAGGACAAACACTGACCAAACATGTGCCCATCTTCGTGAAATGCATTGCAACTCCTCAATGAATCATCTGCATAGCATTGAGTATGCACTGGATAGGGATAATGAAGTAATGTAGTAGAATTTTTTATATCGTCATGAACTATTTTACGAGATCTCCCTCTTGTACTGCATTCAAAATTTGTATAATTAACATAGTCCAGCAGCAGTTCCTTGAGAGTTGTATAAGGAAGCGAGATAGGCTTTTCCGGCATAGCCAGAGTTTTTAATAAGCTGTACGGTTCTTTTCCGATGAATGTGAGGAAATGTGCCACAGTATTAGCATCCTCATCATCTTTCTCGGTCACAGCCCAGATTTCGAACCTTTCAAAGTAATCCTCAAAAGCTTCAGAAGTTGAATGAATATCTAACTTTTCCATCGCAGGCACCATCGCGACGCCAGTATAATGTTCGAATTATTTGAATTGTAGTATGAACTAGGAATCCCAGAATTAACGCAATTCAATCAAGAACTACGATACAAGCACAAACGAATGTATTGTATTTAGAATTTGAAATCGAACATTCAACAAGTACAATAGAATAATTAGTTAATTCAAACACCACAGTCACTCAATTTGTTTACTTCAGCTTAGACAGCCAGTTTCTAACGCAACCTGCTTGAATACGTGGGCTACCTGTTCCTGTCATTTAGATATTTCAGCAAGTTATCTGTTTCCTTTTTTGTTTTAGCAGATCGTTATGCCAATTAGTTGCATAATCTATTTACGTGCGTTCGTGAAAAGTTTACAACCTTTCTCTGTACGAGTTACAATAGCGTACGATTGGAGACATCATGATGGCTGAGAATATGCACCGAAATGAGCATTATTCAGATATCGACTTCTGAAATGCTAATATCTAACTAGCAATCACTCAATATGTTCTTGTTATAATATAGATCAAGAAATAATAAACGGAAACTCGTTGAAATAGTTTATGCTGAGAATCCTATATTGTGCCAAAAATATAAAATTGAAGAAAGCCATTAATAATAAATAAATAAGTTGCTGACTAGATCATTTCACATCTTAACAAGATCTTAAACTTTTAGATATCTATTTCCATTCTTTAAATTGCATATTGAATAGAACTGATTTCCAAAACAACAATATATTAATTCAAGTAATTATGAACTAGTTATTGTAATCAGTACATTAAGGAATGAAGAATATAAAATAGATTAAATTTCTAATAATCAAAATAGTAATCAATTAAAAAGGAATTGAACAAAATAGTAAAATAATAACAATATTCGATGAACAACCTGAAACTAATTGACAAAGTGATTCATGACATATTAATTACCTTTTAAATAATTATCTAATGATTTCAATCTATTCAAATTGTCGGAAACGAGTTGACTCGACAATGTTGACAATTGAATTTATGAGTCATTTATGAGACTATAATAGAGAACGTGAAAGCTCTTGGAACCTTTTCGTTATAGTACGGGACTTCTCAGCAGTGAGCATGCATGATCCAGCACGTCAGACTTTAACCCAAAGCCTTGGGTCTGGTGCACGAACATTTAACCCCCATATCACTGAGCAGCCATCCAATGTTGTTAATGTCCAAATTCAATTGATCAATGATCTTGCACGACCATTCATCCATCACCTGAGGTGAATAACTGCCTCCACTCAAAGCGGGTTGGACTCCACTAGTCACAGCTACAATCTCCACAAATCCCCATTCTAATAATAACTCCGTAATTATCTGTCATCTATGAAATGCCCTTTTTCAGATTGAATTACAGAAGTTTTAGTAGAAAATTACATCCCAGAGGCAGTATTTCGCAAATACCTAACTAAGCACGAGATGTGAATATCCCAAGATTGATCGGTTACAGAACCAGCTGTCTGTACAAAGAATAAAGAAACCGGCAACCCAATCATGATTTTTTCTGATTTGACTGAAAGACTTTCCCTAACCTTTTCAAATTCCAGATACTAATGTTAATTTTAGAGCATTAATAGCTGATTATACACTTCATTCACCGTCTATACTGCTTAATATGATAATGATTTGAAAAACCCAATGGTGGTAGACCAACACATGAAGTTAATGTGCGAAATTATTAGGTATTGAACTGTAAAGAATTCATGTTTGAATTTCGAGCGGTAGTGATTAATGACGGTTGAGAACCTCTAGGTGAAATACCTCAAAATCTACCAAACTAATCACTAGTAATGTTTAGAAATGATAATAAAGAAAAGACCGCCATTAATTTAATGTTTACTTGAGTTATTCGGGTTTTAGCTGTTTCATAAAACCAAAGTATATATATATATATGCGCACTGCTGAGGAGTCCCATACCAGGACGAAACGGCCGTCCAGTGCTTCCAGGTTTTCAATGGTGGTCTAGCTTCAACTGACTCATGATTTCAACCCGTGAAATATATATATATATATTATCAGAACTATTTTCTCAGTACAGTTTAAGAAGTAATTAATTTGCATAACACTAGCCAATTCATGATCTCAATCAAAATATCATAACTTAAACCTCAATGAACTATTTGTAGCTCTTATAGTCACCTATAGAAAAATAAGTACTGAATATAGACACCCATTCAATATTTACGTATTGTGACATCTGCTATCATAAAATGTTACGGCTATTATTACAAATTACCATGGAAAATTATTTCTGTCTAATAGTTTTAGTGACATCACAATGAATACAGCAATTAAACAACACTACCTATGTGTTCATCTATTTACCTTCCACTTTATTCGAAACCATAGGAAACTTAGTTGCGACATTAAATATACATATTTAGGTTAAACTGAGGTACAGAAACATTCACAGAGGAAAGTGTTATGATGAGAGGTATCCAAAATATGATACTGATACACGACATGAGCTAAACACACAATTGACTACTTCTGTGACTTACCATATTAAAAGCAGTTATGCACATTACGAAAAGAGAACACGTCATAAATGAATTTAAGAAAGCAAGGATGCAATCAGTCATAACTAAAATGATGGAAATACGCGTCTCTTAAGCACAGTAACAGTTGCAATTAACAAGAAAACAAAGCATTCGAAGCAATATTAGTAAAAATCACCGTGAAAAGAATAATTAATCAAAATAAGATGTATAAACTTGAGAAATGAGAAGGAATAAAAAAATGTTAAGACTGGATTTGGCAGGAACCAAAAGATGATTTTGTTGACAGACTTAACCATAACGTGATGGTATTTGAAGCGAACGTTATCTAGTTCGAGTTCTGAAGTACACATCAAATCTGAGATGCAATTACTGTAAGATCCATTTTGGGTGCTTTGTGTGTTTGTGATAATCCCTCCATGTATATACTTACACTTTGTTCCTATTGATTCTTTTAGTTGTACATTGTTAACCTTCTGACTACATTTGAATTGTTAATATTTGTATTTTATTATAGTTTCGTTTTTTACTACACCTTCACCAATTCCCCATGTTTCTTCCCGAACTGCGCTTATGTTGTTTTACTTTATACTAAGTCTGGGTGGCAGCCATTTTGGTTTATCCCTGCTTTTGATTGCTTGACCTGTGTTGACTGGAATTGTGCATTTTGGTTGTGAATTGAAGCACTCTTCCAGAATTGAAAACACTCTGTGTTATAGAGCGACCAATTATTACCTTTTGAACGAATCTGTACGTGATCTATCCAGACAGGATAGAATAACATTTATTTGTGGTGATTGGTAATTTTCTTGCATCTTCTATCAACTTCTTTATTTATTGTAATTTAGATTTAATTGATTGAACAATCATTGGTTGAATAGCCGGGTGATAATATTTGTTTAGGTAATGATTTACATTAAATTTATTATGAATTATAGAACCGCTATTTACCCGATTACTTGTTCTGGTTTCGACGGGAAAGGGCGCGTGTCTAAAACCCCCTATCGGCTATTCTTCAACATCCAAAGCGTAGTTTGGATCCTACAGTTCTAAACAAGTATTACTTGGCCGAAATTCTTTGGTAATCGTTCACGGATTTTCTGGAAATAATTGGTCGTGTCGCTTATAATGCTAGTTAATCGTCGAAGGAGATCAGGCTCAAAGTTCGTCGATGTTAACGAAGAATCCCCTATTGTCAAGCAAGTGCCTTTTGACGTCCTTAAGGGTCATGGTTCAGACTCAAATAGGGTTGATTATCATGGTAGTGATTCTAGTCTTAATTCGATGTCAGATGACGTAAAAAATCTTAGTTTAAAGGAGCAAAGGCCTGAATTACCAGGAAAGAGCATGTTGCCTATAGTTCATGTTGTTGGCCCAGAACTACCAAAGGTTGAACTGAGTTATTTCGATGGAGAGCCAAGAGGATACTGGAAGTTTATAATTCAATTTGAGACGTATGTAGCATCAAGAGTCACGGATGATAGCCAGCGCTTGCTCTATTTGATGCACTATTGTAAGGGCAAGGCTAAAACAGCTATTGAAGGTTGCGTCATGATGGAGGCATCCTCTGGCTATAAAAGAGCAAGGGAAATTTTAAAACGTTTTTTCGGACAGTCTCACGTAATTGCTCGAGAAACACTAGAGGACTTATTCAGTGCTGTGAATTTTGAGTATATTGACGGGGACCAACTATCAAACTTGGCTATTAAAATGGAAAACTGTGCTATGGTCTTGGAACAGATGAATTATACTTCTGATCTAAATTCCTTAGTTACTTTGGAAAGAATAATGAGACTCTTGCCTCAACCTATGCAAGCCCAGTGGGCGGACTGGGTGGATAAATTGACTGAATTTAACAGGGAACCGACCTTCGACGAGCTCACTCAGTTTATCGCATCGCGTGCGAGAGTGGCTTGTAGTAGATTTGGACGGTTAGCAAACCGTTCTAGAAAAGGGCATAACGTAAAGACGAACTGTCACGTGCAATCAGAGCAAGGGAATAGTTCGACAACGAAAACTAAATGCAGTATGTGTTCCTACGACCATGCCATTGATAAATGTCCACAGTTCTTAGCGCTTACAGTTCAAGACCGATGGTCTCACGCTAAAAGCAAGGGTATCTGTTTCGTCTGTCTTAGACAAGGACATAGAGTTAAGGAATGTAAGCTGACAAAGCGTTGTAACGTTTAGGGTTGTGAAAAGAAACACCATTCTTTGTTGCACAGCGAGAGTGAGAAACCTGGTATCTCGAATTGTTGCGGATATACTAAATCACTAATCAGTCAAGTGTGTTTAGGCATGATTCCCGTACGGTTGAAATCGCGAAAGGCCGAGATTGTGGGTTATGCTCTGTTGGACAACGGTTCTGATGTGACACTGATAAAATCAAACTGTTTGAGGTCTCTCGGGCTGAGCGAAGAACAAGCATCAGTGGTAGTTGAGACTGTGGGCGGTAATAGAACAATGAAGGTCACGAGTGCGCCTTTTGAGG